AACTAAAAATCATTAAAAATCAGTAATTCAGTTAAAAAGTTTATAACATAACACCTGATGACGGCTCTATGATAGCCGAAACATGTCGTAAATGTTCCATATGTAAATCGAGTACTCGATACGGAACGAAAAATGATATTTTAATCTTTTAATTATCTTATATTGTGATTGACGGCCAATTTTAATATATTTTTAATACTATTAAAATGTATACTATAGAATGAGAAAAAACAAATGGAATCACAGCTATGATAATGAAAATAATTTTAACAAAAGTGAATATGTATGTTGGAAATGCTCATATAAACAGCTTAGATATGGAAAATGGCGTTGACTTGGTAAGAGATGAGAATTTCCATTGATACTGACCACAGCAATAAAAAGAAAGTATTATCCAGCCAAATATCCACCCCCCTTTCTGAGGATGACAGAATGGCACAGGAAAAGGTACAGAGCTCATATAATTGAAGCAAACTATTTTCTGGACATTATCCATCATCCCAGATTTAATAAAACACGATGTTTTGGAGATTGTTGTCTATCTCCATCTTCAGGCAAAAGCTACTCTGTTGGGTCCAATCGACAGAGCTAGTCCCTATACCCAGAGATAGACAAAAATCTCCTAAATGTCGTGTTTTATTAAATCTGGGACAACGGATAATGTCCAGAAGTAGTTTGCTTCAACAATGCACCATTGTCACAAACCTTCAGAATTAAGCCTGATACAATGTCTACATTTATGCAAAACAATGTGCACATAATTATGCATGTATAATCAGGAGTTAACTGTATCTGAAAAACTGTAAAACATAAAACAGGTAATCATTCCATGGTAGAAGAAAACCCAACAATAAGATAAATAATAATGTTATAAACAATCTTATACTTATAACAAATTCATTCAATACTTATTTACTAAGGAATTTAGAAACACTGAACAACAGTACTAAAAATTCAGCAATGAAAAAGGCTATACACAACTAAAACAAATCCCAGAACCTCCATAATGCAAACCTTTGGCCTACAACAACAAATGAAACAATTAAATTATCATAAGTCAAAAAACTTGCACAATTATATATTATATCAACTAAATTTGTTCAGGCAATATTACTTTTACTTTAAGTTATCTCTTTAATCAATCAACTATTAAGCAAATTTTCCCGAAATAACAAAATATTCATTGGTTAATCCTCTGTATAAAATGGGGGAAGAATCTTGTATCTCCAATTATAGGCCAACTTCATTACTGACAGCATTTTCCAAAATATTTGAGAAAGTTATGTACCAGAGACGAAATTAATTCTTAAACACTGACAATATCCTCATAGACAAACAATTTAAATTTATAAAAGGTCTCTCAAATGATACAGCCTTGTGCAAATTCATAGATGAAACATTATGTGCCCTTAATAAAATGAACAGATCATTTATTCCATGTAAAATTACCATAGCAGTTGACATAACCTTACTTCTTACTGACAGACCATTTAAATAGCACCACAAAGTTGGCTTAGCGAACATTTAAATAACACCTTGAAGAATTAATTTATGAATATTGTTTAGCCACATAAAATTAAGTTTTTCTCAAAACATTCTGTGATTCTGTAAGTTCATTTTTGAAACATTTAACATTGGGACATGAAAGGTTTGATGAGATATACATTTTCCACAATTACAAGTTACACACATGTTGGTCTCTTGGATTAAAGATTACAGTAAGCTACAGAGTTAATACAATGCAATATCATAAAGAAGTACTTTGTCTTGAACATGAATGAAGAGGAGGACCATTATTACAACTGTGATTTATAGACAAACAGAACATTAATTCAAGAATAATAATTGTACTAATGTGTATTACAAATTCAATTTCAACAAGAATCCATTACAATATTCTAGATTTCACCAGGTGGACATTTAGCACCAAAACATGAAATTTTTGCGTCATACACACTTTGTTGCTGAAAAGTCAAACCTGCCGCATATATAACTTATATCAGGACTCCTTTCAGCACCAGTCAGCAAAGGAAACACAATACATATGACAACTTCATATATTTAATGACTTACATGAATAACATTCACTACACTATAATTTCATAGAAAAATCCATCATTTGTGAAATATGTGACACTGATTTTGCATCCACAACCTGCTGATATTAAATTCCTATTTTTGCAATTTTCATGCATCCCTCCAACTGTTAAGTTAGACACATCCTAATTTTTGATTTTATGCTCTTCATAAGTTTTGACGTTATACACAGCAATATGTCAACCTACTACTGAATACTGGTGATATTAATAAAGTTTGTTATCCAATTAACACACAGTGACATAATATTAAAAATGTATGTGGGGCACACAAAACACATTGGTTTGGGGCCACATGCAGTGCCCAGGTCAAGGGTCAAGAACCCCTGCTTCACACCCTTTTAAATCTAAATTGGAAATTTATTGGAAATGTCAGCTTTCCATGTAATTAAGGATTAATTAAAAATGCCAACATACTAACTACACAAAACAGAGAAGAAACAAGGGACAAGGTAAACTGGTAATCTGGCAAAGAAATTTCCTTTTTCTTAACTCTGAGGATCCATTACATTTTCACAAAAGCCTGTTACTGGCTCTATCACGAGTCACACTGGCACATCATAATTCCAACAGATCCGTTTTAATATTATCATCCCATCTCAACTTCGGTTTCCAAAATGTCTCTTCCCATGAGGTTTTCAGATTAAAATTTTGTATGCCTTTCTTGATTCCAGCACATCAAAATGACATACCCGAATAACTACGTTTCTGTTCGAAAAATGAATGTCACTATAATACTGCAAAGGCTGCGCGACTGTTAACCATAGCCAACCTGGTGAACACATTCTGTATCATCTACTTTCCTTTTAGCAAAACCACTTATGAAAACGATCCTAACTTTCCTACTAATGCAACACAGAAAAAAATCACTAAGGTTATAAAATTCTTTCCCAACGCCAATATTAAACGTCGTCTTACCATCTTGAAGTGATAAATAATGGCTGGATCTGTTACGGCCAGTTATAAGGCATTGCGACTGTCCTGCTCTGTTAACTATGACCTACGTGATGACAGCTCGGAACATTGCAGTAATTATGAAAGGACGAAAACGACTGTAAACACCCGAACCAAATACATAAAGTTCTGCTTAAATAACCTATAGCTGGAAATGCTAAACTACGTTCCTACTCCACAACAACCATTCGCAACACCACATTTACACACCCTATAGAAATCTACCACGATAACAACTGTAACTCCTGCACATACATCAAATTTAGATTAACAAGAACAGCGAACACCACAAGCAGAGATAACCTGTTATTCGTCGGCAACGATGACGTCACATATTAGGTCACATGGGACTTCCTTTCCGTCTTGAAAATGTGCTATAGAACGGAACGTCTAATGGAAAAGAGATAAATCTAAGCCATCTAAGCGACGTAACGTAGCAAGCACACATAATTACAAACAAATAGCTAATACAGATACAATTAAACACCCGTTCTCTCCGCGCCGCCGCAAATAATATAATAATAATAGTGCAAAAATTTTAGACTTAAAAGCAATGAAACAAGACTATAGTCATATACCTTTATTTGGAATAAAATTGATACATTTCTTGCTGCTTTTTTTGTAGAATAATCTTTACATGAACAAGCTGGGAATTACAGGTGTCTAGACTTCCACACATAACTAGTAAATGCAAAATGATAGAAACTAAGAATGTTTGTAGAAAGTTGTGTAGCAACAGTTCATTTTAGAAAAGTTTATTTGGCAGTTAAAAAAACAGATGGTGCTAAATGAAACAGGACTGGAAATTGTACTCTTTGGAGTACACCCACATTCTAAAGGTCTACTTCATGATGCATCATGTGCAGTCCCATCATTGACATCCACAGCTCAAAGGAACTCTGAAGCCATTGTTAATTGAAATGAATATTAAGAGCAACAATGGTATCCTACATCATCAATTACATCCTTCCAATGGCTGTACCAACCTGCCCCAACAATGTTTGGACAACCCCAGGTCATGCAGGCTGCCTAATTCCTTGGGGGGGGGGGGGGGGGGGGACTGAGACAAGGATGGGACCAAGAGGTTCTCTACACTCATGCAATGCTGTGACTTCCCAAACAGTTGAGAAAATTCAATCCTCTGCTAAACACTACTAAAGAGTTTTCTGTGGAGAATTCAGAACCATTTTATTTTGACCAATGATACAAAACTATCTTCAACTGAACCTCAACATCAGGTATGAAAATATAACACTCATTGCCATTACAAATTCACCATCTATACTAAGTTCTTTCCCTGTATGCCTTAAAATTGAAATTACTTCTTTAAAACACGTACAAACACTAGAACACAATTGTTCATCACTGACTTATCATGTGCATATATTACAGTAAAAACATAACTTACTTGCAGTACAGAACCACAATTGCCATATTTACTTTACATAATTTATAGTCCTGTAGTTTTTAGACACTACTGGTAGGGCCTCCCAAGCCAGATTGGTCGAGGGGGAGAGGTCAGACTAAGACAGGTACCCTGGTCCTCCAGGTTGGGGGTTGGTCGCAAGGCTAACAACCTTGCACCGTAAAAAGGAAGATGTTTCGAAAAACCTCAACCTTGGACAGACGGATTGAATGGAAGAGGAGAATTGAGGAGGCCATGGACCGGAGAGCCATGGAAGAAGAAGAAGTTTTTAGAGAAGACATTTTGAAATGAGATTAAAAACCATATTTTTACCACCAAAGTTTAGCCACAAATATTTGATTAAATGGACATGAAATTAATCATGTAATTTGCAACTTCACACACCATATGTATCACAATTTAAATATAATTACTACAGACATATGTTGAGCCTTTTGAAGTTATGAAAACAAGCATTTATGGTATAATCATCACTACTCATTGATGATATTTCAATATACTATTTTCCTCACTCTCAACTTTCTTTTGTAAGCTTCTTGGATAGCCTTGCAGCACAGTAAAGGGCATACCTTCATCAACATATAATTTCATAAATACCTCGAGGAGAAAGAAAAATGCTCTGGTAAAGTAAAACATCACAGTAGTTACAGGACAATCTAAATATCTGACCCACTATAAATTCAATATGACAACTCTAGCATCTTTGGCCTTTTATTTTACTTCTTAACGTTCTTCTATCGAGATGTACCAATGGTAACACTTCTATGAAAATGATGGAGGCAGAGGAAAAACTGTCACAAAAATGATGTCATGGTCAGTGGGACTCACCCGTCATGAACTTTACATTTTACAGACTAGAAATTTAATGTTAAATCAGCAAAGAAGCTATTTTGAAGAATGTCAAATGTGGTGAAAACTGCTACAGTAAAATTAAAAGTTGTGGGTGTATGCAAGGAAACCACATGCTTATCACACTCACATCATCTTATTGTCAATATTATGTCGTGCGCCTAACCTCAGTTAATATAATACCATACTCCATAAAAAACAAGACTTCTCTAAGGGCTCTTGAATGTGTGTTATTAAAATGACACATACTGATGAGCATTTCCCTTCGTCTATTAGTTTGACACAACCAGAGATGCTTCCAAATGTATACTTTTTTAATTACTTAAATTACCAGATGGAGGAAATTTTCGAAAAATAGACATCAGTTCTATGAAATGTAGAGTTAACATATTTTACACACAACTTTCAAAAACAATATTTTTTTTACAAACGTATGCATACTATGCAAGTAGATATGGCACTCATTGAAGTAAGGATGTTTGAACCTGAATCATGTGCTATAAACATATTTTGCATTAAAAATAAAGTTACAGTAATATTTACACAAGATCACTAAAATATTGATATCAATGGTGTCTTACTTATTGGGCACATATGAAGTATATTTACATGTGCTGAAATAATACTTTCCCTTAAAACATTCTACTTAGAATATGAAAAGTACCAATTCTCAAAAAATATAAAAATGAGGAGCATTTCACTGTCTTCCTCAAATCTAATAACTGATTCGAGATCATACTGTAAGCCGATTTTTAATTTGTAGGCAACATACAAATAAAAGACAATGTTCATATTTTACTTATAATTATCTTGCTAAGGTGTAAGAAGTAACACCATATTAAATCACTATAAAACATGCATTCACTTTAAGTGTGTATATATATATATATACATAAAGAAAGAGTAATACAATTTCTGGCAACATTCACACATAACTGTAATTAACTAGTTCAAATGTCAATTCAAAAAAATAGTATGAAGCCTTGTACATGTAGCAGCTTGAACAATATATATAATGTATCTTTCCAGAGCTAGTACCATAGAATTTGCAATTACAACCACAGACTTAATTTACACATTCAAATATTCAACTACATAAATGTTTTATGCACTACTCACTAATCATAACTGAGTTCCCACAGGTTCTCCTACTTTAGCACAAATATAGTGCTACCATACAATTCTGATCGACAAACATGATGCACTGAATAGAACTTACGCTGAGCAGCCCTTTAGATAAAGAAGGGTTTAGAACTACTAAATGAAACTGCATGACAACTGAGACATGTAATAAGTATGACGCACATTTGGCCTTCATTTAACATACATAACAAAGGAAAAAGAAGAATAAAGGAAAAAAAAAACCTTATTGCTGTCCTTTACAGTATTCTCACTGGCCCCCAAAAGCAAATTTAATGTCTAGTACCGCCCTGATTCGAGGATTCCTCAGGCATGGCCTAAATTTCAAACGGTTTGACTTCATGCTACGAGACAGAAATTATAGAGCTGAAATCAAACTCAAGCTGAAAAGCTGCCACACTTCAAAATAAGTCTTATCAATCACTAAATACAGCAATTCAATCATTATAGTACTAAACACCATGAAGCAAGTGTATTACATGAATTATGATTTAATAATATAATCTAGTGCAGTGTCTCAAACTGTGGGCTGCAAAGCTTTATTCACCAGACCAGTACTATAACGATAAATATTATTTTCACAATACAATAAACATTGAAAAAATATCCATTTGTCATTAAAACTGAACACATGGTCAATGCATATTTGTTTTATTACAGCTCTTATTAACATATTTTAATTAAAACTGAAGAGTAAGGAAAAACATGTCATTAGCACAGAACTCAAACACTATTTAGGTCACTTCATACAGTGGATGCCAAGTCCTGAGTCCATGCTCAGCCCTGCTGACAGTCTTAGTCTACTCAATGGATGCATAGGCATGTTGGTAGCAGGAGAAAAGCAAATACATAAAATCTTATATAGGTTTCTAGAAATATATAGCAGAGTCCAGAACCGTCTTCCTTGATCCTTACAGCATTTAGTGATATCTGCAAAACAGGGCATAAAGAATTGGTCACATGGACCACAATGCAAACAGCATCCCAATGTGGCAGTCAAGGAATTCCAGATCCGGTTGCAGAAGATGGCTGCAATGGTTGCAGGCGCCAACGAAACAAATTGAAAATTAAGGCAAATTTGTGTACACGGACAGTATTTCATTGTACCACCAGCCTCCTCAACAATGTGAAATAAGACTTTGTCTCTGTGACCACTAACAGGCCCCCCTGCCCATCCCACGTCCATTAAAAGTAAACGGCAAGGGGACAGCAGATAAGGAAGTACAAACAATTTCTCAGTTGCAACAAATTTTAGTTCTGTTTCAGTCCTTAAGTTGATAATGTTTTTGGTTTATATAGTACGTTTCTTTTCATTCTATCCACAAGGTGGTTCTGTACGCAAAACACAGTTTTGTCCTGGCCACTGTACAAGACCTTTCATGACAATACCTTGTGTGCTTCCTTTCTTTTGAATTTATATATCTTTGTAATCATGAATTTTCCATAATTGTCTAATGTAAAAGTTCAGAGAGAAATATAATGGAAAGCCGCAGTCCTGTTGCACATCACTACAAGCAAGACAACTCGTAAGATGTTTCACATTAATTATACTTAAAAATGGCTAAATGTACATCCATCCAAATTTCAGCGAATACTTTTTTTTACACATCTTTGAAAAAGTCTTTAACACTTAAAAATATAAGAGAAAAGTAATATATCATCTAAGACTAAAGTTTCCATGTCACAGTATAAATCATAATATGGTACTTGTGAAGAAATTTTTTTTATAGTTCTTCTGTAAAAAGACGCTAGCACTGAATGCTGAGATGAGATCCTTGTTATATTGCAAATTTTTCTCCTTAGTCTGGTCCTAGGCTACTCAGGTTCATAGACTACTGCCACTGAAGCAGGCTTGGCGGAGAAGAGTAACCGCCATAAACCTTGAGTGTAATAATGCTGTAATAAGGTGTGCAGGTACATCGCACAAGCTAAGTTCACGGACACCCAGTTTGCAAAGAATCAGCTTCACACTGAGTTAGGAGGAAAGGAAGATCAACAATAACATACCCCTTTTTAATAATCTGTGTGTCTGTCTCAGTTCTACAGTGAGATATTGCACTATGTTAAGAACTGAAGCTCGAAGAAGGCTTATAAAGCACCCTCTAGGGATTCTGAAGCCAAATTTAAGGATGACTGTGAAGCAATTTGGTTGGAAAGAGATCTAACTACATCAAAGCAATTCTGACCATTTTATGTGCTATGGTAGACAGCATTAATAACCTGGTGTTTTGAAATACAGATTCAAGGAAAAATAGGTGGGCATTCTGATTTTATTATTTCTTCCTCACACCACCAAACAAGAGGGTAAACAAAGGCTATGTAATCAATCACTATTTTTATAGTTTGATTCAACTGTAATGAGGTTGCTGCAGAATTGGACTGACAGCTTATAACAACTTGTAATGGCTTCATATGTTCATTACAGCTGTTACTTGTCAGATTTTAATGGTCATACACAGATTCATTTGTTAGAATCCTAGTTGTTCTTCAGCTGAACAAGAAAATATTTCCATTTAAACTGTCCTTGCATCTTGGTCATTTTACTTTTAGGCTGGGGTTTCTTGGCATCTCCCTACTGACACTGAAAGCCCCAGCAGTGCCAGAGAGGTCATCCTCAGATTGGTGGTTACCTATAAACCAAGATGGTAACCTTCCATTCCCACTATCATAAACATATCACATCCTCAATGAAAATAAATTCAGTTTTTTAATTAAAATATCATATGTAGGTATTGACAGATGAAATAATCAAATCTCCATGCACTGAGCATTAAAGGATTACAATTTCAACACCTAAGATCTTCAATGAAATTTATTCTTTGTTATTTGGAATTTTACTTGGCACTGTGAAAGTCTACTATGTAAGACCACACAAACAATTTTTTGGAATGCCTCCCATCAGCTTTTCACTTCGTACAATGCACGTAATCTGGACTGTGATGTAACACAAGGTTTTAAAAAATTCTCAGATGGTATACTGGTTTATATGTCCATGTCAGATACTTATCATGTCCACTATACAGTAGTGATTTGGGCTCAGCTGATTAGAGTTTGGTTTATAAAGTGGAATGGCAAAAAAGCAGACATTCTCCACTCAAATAACATTCTGAATCGTAGTATGTGCTCCAATGTTTATATTGTGCTTATAATGAAGGTACATTATTTTTAACAGGTATATTAAGCAAGAGTGCATCATACCAACCTTCCTCCCTTCTTTAAGATGCCAGGACAAATGACACAGACAATATTAAGGATTTCATTTCATGCTTGAATATCACTCCTTGGAACTTGCATGTACAAATTCCTGACATAAACATGAAATAAAAGTGTTACAGACTGCCCAGAATGCCTTAGTACTGTTACTACTGCCAGCCTGAACACCAAACTCTTCAAAAAAACAAGGAAACATTTGCACTCATATACTAAGATAAGGCAAACTAAGCTTTGACACTTGGCAAATTAAAATCAGTTATAAATATCTCATAAAATAATGCAAATTAATGCACTGACGTGTATATAATCATTTGTCATATCTTTAATTCTGGACCTGGGAGCTGAGACGAAGTGATCGGCGCATAACTCGACGAGGTACTAAAAAAGAAAAAGAAAACAAAAGCATGGTTAACACTGAACATATACCATAACTGTTTTGTTTTGAGTGTGGTGTGTTATTTTGTGTGATGTGTGTTGTTTTGTCTTATTGTAGCACCATTGTCACCCAGTATGATACAATAAATTTCCAATAACAAACAATTCTCTGGGGGGGTTAAGGCAAGTTCATGAACAGTTGATGATAAAGACATGTGACATCTTCCACCATGTACATATCAATAAACTTGAGAAAGAATACCCCAATTTTAATTAAATTTAATAATGGAGAATTTTATTAAAAAAAATGACACTTTCAGTTTTCATTTGGGTCAGTTCTAACATCACTTTAAACAAGACAAGAACATGTATTATTTGAACTCACCTCAAATAAATATGCATAAAATAATGTTTTCAGATTACTTTGATAAATATTCACTATAGTATTATTTAATTATGTACAATTCAGTTAAATTGTTACCTCCTTTCTGCGACAGCTTGCTTTTCCTACCATGCTACAACGATGGAAGTGCAGAGTGGGAAAGCTGTAGAGGTCAGAGCTCATTTCATTGAGCTAGGAAAACAAAACAACTCGTAATGTGACTGTCAGCCAATTACGTCTCAAGTGTTGCTGTAACTGTGATGTGTGTTGTGCAAAGTAAAGAGTGATCAGTCCTAACTATGGAAGAGGTAGAGAAAGGCAATATTACACTAGCCTTGTTACAAACCCAAGAATAAATATTAACCTGATACTGGAGAATCAAAGCAGATGAGGTCTCCTGATGGTAGTGATGTGGCAACAGGACTACTCACTTCCAGGCTACCTAGGAGGCTTATTCTCTGCTTTGGCCCTGTAATACATCACATTACAAAATGTTAATTAACTAAGTTCTTCCCCATTATAATCCAAATTATTACTGAGGCACATTTTTCATAATACGGCCTTGGCTCATAATGTCGCAGTGTGTTCCAACAATGACATAAGTCATGCAGGTTGCCTAGTTCTGAGAAAAACCATGACCAACAGACAGATCTGGACAGGTCAATAACGTGTTCTATCCTCATGCCAGAATGTGAAGAATACCTAAAAAAGCATGAGTGAATTATGATGAAAAAATAGACTATACAGTGATGTGACAACTTACTTTGTGAGTGAGAAATGTATGGTGTCACTGTCAAAGGTTGAACTCCTTTTGCTGAATTGTCTCCTGCACCTGAAGTAACAGAGCATACAAATAATCACTTACATTATAATATTTCAGCCTAGAACTATATATAAATAACCCATTGTAGAATGACCATGGAGATAAGGTAGAAAAGACAGAATATGACTCTTCAATTGGCAACCATTTCATGTTTGTTCTTTGTCTACCATGAAGATCGAATTAAGCGGTTTCTTTGGTCCCTATAGAAATCTGAGATATCACACTTGGAACCACCTCATCACAGTAGATATTAAAATTGAGGCTGATGAGCTACCATCTTCTGGTGCTTGAGTGAAACTGGGAGCACAGTATTATATATGAACACATTAACATGTTTTAAATCTCCAATTACTGGACTCCTGTCTGAACATAAGCTGATTTGTTATTTATATAGGTATATTAATAGTATAAACAAGGCTGCCAACACATCAAACAAAAAGCCAAAATTTATAACATAAGTGTACTTAAAATTTGCCTAAATTAATTCCTGGTGGCCCTATTTGTATTTCTTCCACAAATTTAACAACATTTTAAATTCCAAATATACAAACATCTGTGTAGGATTTGAGGTTGATGTCCACATCTACCATACTACACGGTGTAACAACACAGAAGACAGAATTCTTCATACAAAAATCTGATCTCTCTCTTACCTTCAAATCTAACTTTTCTTGTTATACTTCTCGAACTTCTTCTGAGTTTGAATACTTCATTATCTTTAGTTTCAACTGATGAAGGCTGTATTGTCATAATGGAGTCACCTAAAAATTACAAAAGAAGCTATATCATTTTATAGCACATACATTGAACAATTACAAAAATCATTCTACCAATATGCAAGTTTCATTAACAGGAACTGGTTTTTCCTTCAGTTAAAATCTCATTAATCCTAACAGTCAGAAGAAGTACGTGGTCTGCTTTCTCTTGAAGTTCTCCTTGTCTCTCTGAAGGCACAAAGTCGCAGACAGAACGTGCTATTTTCCAACTTTACACTGTGTAAGAAAATATCTCTGCATTACGCTGACTCCTAGTTGGGTAGCTATGTCCTCTCTTCTTCACTGTTATTCTCTAAAATCCAGAGACAAGTCCACTGATAATAGATCCCTGAAAAGTCGTGGGAGAGAGCTGTCTTGATTGCGCGTTATCGCATAGACCATTCCACAGGCCAAACACCATTCCTGCCAAAATTCTCAAAAAACTGACATCAGAGCACAATTTGCTGTTATTCTGAAAAACTTTCAAAATCATTCAGACAACCTGTCTCCTCCAACATGACCAGGATTTACTTCCTTGCCATACATAGATTAAACTAAATGAGGCAGTCTTATCACAGCACATGCTCCAATATGTAGATGACTTTGATAGTGATACTAGTAAAAACAACTCCAAAGCAGTTGGACCTCTTGTACTACATGTTCCTGTAAAAACATATATGAATATAGCATGTAAATTCGCTTCCTTTCCTAGCAGAATATTATTTAATTATTTGTTAACAGTCAACAATATCACTATTTTCACACACATCCATTGTACCTTCATGTTCAGTCACTACATTCAGATTGAGTCAAAAAACAACACTTTAGCAAATTCATCCATTTTCATATAATGAGTGCACACGCGTGTGTGTATGTTTATGTACATATATATATAAAAATCTGATCTCTCTCTTACCTTCAAATCTAACTTTTCTTGTTATACTTCTCGAACTTCTTCTGAGTTTGAATACTTCATTATCTTTAGTTTCAACTGATGAAGGCTGTATTGTCATAATGGAGTCACCTAAAAATTACAAAAGAAGCTATATCATTTTATAGCACATACATTGAACAATTACAAAAATCATTCTACCAATATGCAAGTTTCATTAACAGGAACTGGTTTTTCCTTCAGTTAAAATCTCATTAATCCTAACAGTCAGAAGAAGTACGTGGTCTGCTTTCTCTTGAAGTTCTCCTTGTCTCTCTGAAGGCACAAAGTCGCAGACAGAACGTGCTATTTTCCAACTTTACACTGTGTAAGAAAATATCTCTGCATTACGCTGACTCCTAGTTGGGTAGCTATGTCCTCTCTTCTTCACTGTTATTCTCTAAAATCCAGAGACAAGTCCACTGATAATAGATCCCTGAAAAGTCGTGGGAGAGAGCTGTCTTGATTGCGCGTTATCGCATAGACCATTCCACAGGCCAAACACCATTCCTGCCAAAATTCTCAAAAAACTGACATCAGAGCACAATTTGCTGTTATTCTGAAAAACTTTCAAAATCATTCAGACAACCTGTCTCCTCCAACATGACCAGGATTTACTTCCTTGCCATACATAGATTAAACTAAATGAGGCAGTCTTATCACAGCACATGCTCCAATATGTAGATGACTTTGATAGTGATACTAGTAAAAACAACTCCAAAGCAGTTGGACCTCTTGTACTACATGTTCCTGTAAAAACATATATGAATATAGCATGTAAATTCGCTTCCTTTCCTAGCAGAATATTATTTAATTATTTGTTAACAGTCAACAATATCACTATTTTCACACACATCCATTGTACCTTCATGTTCAGTCACTACATTCAGATTGAGTCAAAAAACAACACTTTAGCAAATTCATCCATTTTCATATAATGAGTGCACACGCGTGTGTGTATGTTTATGTACATATATATATATGTAATCAATCAATTATTAATTCACAAATCTAACATGTAATATTATTTACAAAATAGTTTTATTATTTATAACTGGAATCAAAGAAAGTGTAAAAAATCACATATGAAACTTCCAACAAAATACCACTGTTATTTTATTTATATACAACTTTAAAATTCTTCTTAGATGACAGAATTGTGCACACCAACAATTGTGTAAGAGTAAAGTACAAATCATACCAAAAGCTTATTCTTTGACGTGGACTTCATCAAATGCTACAGCAATATTGTCACGAAAACTTATAATTCAGTTACAAGGGGAACACTGTACAAGATTTTAATTCAATAAAGATTATGCAAGAAAGTTATGTTAATTGAAATGCAGTAGGTGGCTAATAACGCTCATATTTGTCAGCAAGGGACTTTGTTTACGTGACACATAAACATTGGTATCAAAGTCATGATGTAATAAACAATCTGGGAAAGTTTAAGAATTTAAGTACCTGACAACACTAAAATAAGGAGAATAAATTTTGGTACTGCTTGTTATTGTGCAGTCATTAAATTATTATGTGACCAACTTATCCAAATGCTAAAGACAAACAAAGCAATAATTTGTAATTTTTATAGGAGTGTGAAAGTTTTTTCCACTGAAGGAACACAATAAATTGCAAGAGTCTGAAAACAGAGTGCTTGGGAAACTATTGAAGCAAAATATGAAGTGGGAAATTTAGGATACTGAATGAGAAATTTTATAGCTTATCTCTTCTTGCTAGGATGGTGAAATGTAGGCTACATTATGCTGAGCACGTAGCTAAGATACGACAGCCAGAAACACACATTACTGGAAGAACAAGGAGGTGAAAGCATAACATTAACAAGAATCCTAAGGATATGCGTTATAATGAAGCATGGATGGAATTAACTCGGGTCAGATCAAATGGCAGACTCTGGTATTAGCAGTGTTAAACCACAGAGATCTGCTAAGAGAGAGTTATTATAACAGAAAACATTTTGAGAGACTTCAGTTTACTACTGATAAATACATACATGGCAAACCTACCATACATCTGGGTCTGTTTTGTGTCTTCTTGTAAGTAGTACTCACCAATAACACTTTCATCATTACTCAGTACTGTATTTAAAGGCAGAGGCAGATTGCATGTCACTGACTTCAGAATACTCTTTCTTGGTTTCTGGTTTGCCGAAGAAATTCTGAGTGGACTTGGAGCATCAGAAGTCTCTAAAACCTAACCAGAAATAAAATCAGTTACATTGGAAAATACACAAAGTACAATGATCCAGTTTGTCCTGGAGCCTGGATGTCTTGTTTTTCATCTGTGGCCGTGACAGCTTGGGAAGTTCCATTTACAGAATCCCTACCAATAATTCTCAAAGATTCTGCTGATGGATTTGGCACAATAATTGCTTTCAGTTCTCTCCACATTATTAGCAAATTTTGTACACAATTGTCATCATAGTAGAATCTCCTGTGGTCATGCATCTCAAAATAAAATACTACCTAATTTCAATAGCAAAATCAGTATTATTATTGCAAATTGATGTTAATTTAATTAAAATAATTATTTTTCTGAGATAGTACAATTTTTTATAATCTGTACACCCATACTTCATAATTACTATTCTATTCAGTGAAATATGTTTATATCAGATGTATGCAAACAGAGGTGGGAAAATTTAAAGAAATACATAGGAAGGGCACAGCAGGTGATTGTGGCAGGTTTGATAAGCTCTCAAAGTATGGGGAGTTAAGAGGGGATTCTTATGAGATTTCATGCCTTCCACAGCACAGACAATCAATATTTCCAAGGTCGCAGAGATACGTGAATAACTGGATGCAAACAATGGTGAGCTTTCCAAAATCAGTACGTCTTCATCAAAGCCTCAGCAACATCTGTATAAAAAAATCCTGCAGGAATTCCCTGTAGCAAGCGTACTGGGGAAAGTTTGCCACAAAAAAATCAAAACATTTTCTTGACTTGCCACTTTCAGAGACTAACTTTCAAAATCTGTACAAAATTGCCAATTACTTGCCAAGCTTAAAATATCAGGTAGTGGCTAAGACTGCACAGCAATGGAACATTCAGAGCACAGTGATACATCATCCTATTAACAAATATGGCGAAACCCTGTGGTTTTAGGTTCCTGAATTTAAAGGATGGTTTTGTGTTGAAGGGACATTGTTTTTACTCTGAAATTCACACTCTCCAGTATTCATGCTCATACGTTTTTTCTGAGTTCAACCTTTTGGTTTCTCAACTTGTCCAGAGTCACCCAACAGAACGATTTTTGAAGATTGCACCTTACCCAATGGTCATCAAAACTTTTGCCATTTTTATGCATATCATTATTGACTAAAATATTTTAAAAAACAACAACAACAAAACAATAAAATCTTATCACCTCAAGAAACTCAGATTTCAAAGAACATGCCAATTAAAAAATAATGTGGTTCAAAAAAGGCTTAGTACTAATCACTGATCAGCACTGGACATTACAAAAAATTATCAACATTTGCAGAAAAAGTTGCTGGTCTCAAGATGGTGCAACTGTACCCGTCTTCACTTAAACTTAATGTCAGTGTGCAGCAACCAACTCAACTCAAAGAGAATTCCTGTTCATCTGTCACAAATTACAAAGCAGACTGCCCTTCTACATTACTTCAAGAAACGGAGAGGACTGGAATGATCGGCTAAGAGCGGACTGTTGGCAGGCTCTTTTGACCGTGCTAATAAACCTTCAGTTTCCATAAATGGTGGGAATTTCTTAACTAGATGAGTGACTATTCGTTTTTCAAGAAGAATTCTGCTGTATGTAGTAACCAATTCATATGTAAGCTTGTATCATTTTATGTAACTGTACATTCCAACACATTGTAACTTCTAGTTTGCCAGTATACTGCACAGCTGGAATTGAACAGTTGTGATCCAACGTCCCAATATCTTGCCAACATAATTTACAGATGATATATCACCACACTATTGAGTTTATTTTCTGGTTTGTTCGTGAATTGAGTTTAACACAGCCCTATGTCTTATGTTTTTTAACTCCTTTTCCTCCTCTCTCCAGATTTCACTGCAGACCCTGATGTATGATTTTTCTTTCCAGCAAGGCATGTAGTTACTGAAATTTATGTTTCATGATAACATATTTGGAATATTGTATCTGATGTTTGGAAATATGAATTGTGTAATATTTTATTTGTAGTATAGTGAAATTAATGCTGCAACAAGTGACCAATGTCTTTCTTGCATACATAATTCATGCTACTAATTGTTTGTCCCCCAGACAACAGTTAAAGAGGGGATTTACTGTATCTGCAAACAGGAGTACCTGCACTGTAGGCATTATCCCAGCATCACACATCTTGGCTATCTGAGTCACTTTCATGATGATGGGACTCGATTCCCGGTTTAACCCACGACTGTTTCTCTTGTGTTCTTCTAATGTGTGTTGTAGAAGAGATGTCTTAGATCGACGTGACAGCAAAGGTGTGGATCCAGTTCTAGTTTTAGCTTTAAAGGCAGGAAAAAAAAAATGTATCTGAAATATGCCATGTAGATCTACCTACAGCATCATCTTAAATCTGCTAGACAGTATACCAGATTAGATTCACAGGCTTCCACATTACATTCCAGCATCTTCCATATGAAACCTGTGTTAATCACTAGATCATATAGATATAACAGTACGTACAGGTACATGAAAGTCAATGGTTATATTCAAATGCCTATAAATCATTTGATTCTTTACCCAACTTAAACAAACTGCTTACGATAGAGTATTCATTCAGGTGTTATGCCAGGGCATGACAAATTTAAACACATCCATAAGCCGTATCAATATCTGTCATGCAAAATAACATTCTGAAGCAAAACAAAAAATGGGTTAAACACTTGCTTCTACAATTTCTCATTAGCCATCCTGTGATTGTACACGTGTGTAGTTTTGGAACCGAAGTACCATCGACCACAACCTATGCTGAATCAAACTGCATCACAGATGGACCATTTATGTCACATGTCAACAGGTCACTTAAACTTTCATCATAATGCATTATTTGCGACAAGAACTGTTAAACTACATAAGAACATAGAGTGGGAACAACCGCAGTACAGACACTACAGACAACTATCCCCAAACTTTAAATATCACATTTCTTCATCAGCCACTGCTAACTTCAGCTGGTCACTGTTTCTTTCTTTCCCCCCCCCCCCCCCCCCAAGACTAATTCATACCACTACTCATGTCTGGTGGTAAAAGTTGTTCCCTCAAGTGCTGAGTCAATGCTGTTACATCACTAACACCACAATCTTCCAGACTGAAGCCCTACATATGGCTTCTAAAGTTTATCCCACTGTATGTTCACTCTGAAGATGGCTAAGTTATTCTTTGAAGGTGATCAATACACTTCACTTGTATGTCTATATTTGTTGGTAGAAGAGTCAATAGCATAGGAAACTAGTACTGATGCAAGGCTGCATACAAGTTCAAGGTTGCGCATTTCTTCCTTTTCTGTATTTTTCAATGCACTGCATTCAGCTTACATGATCAGAGATACAGGTCTGTTGTCTAGTACAGGTTGGGATGTAGGTCATGTCTGCATCCTTGCCAGACTAAGAGAGTCAGACTGTTTTCCAGGTGAGTCAGAACAAAATGATGCTGATGAATGTTTTTATGATTCCCTTCAAGTGGAAATCCCATCATGTGATCAACGTTTATTGACCTGGCCTATGACCCTTTGGTCTAAAGACCTAATCTAGTATAAAGACAGGTTCTGGGTGGCTGGCAGGTCTGGGTCTGGTATATGTGTGACTGCTTTATAGGCCATTGAAACATCAACGGTAATGTCAAGAAGAATTGTGCGCCCTGTCTAACTAGAAGTTTCTTCAGACATCTACTACTTGGTCCAGCCACAACTTAATTGCATAAGGGCAGTTGGTCCACAAACTCCTTAAGGAAAATTCCAGTACTTCATGTCATTCAGAATAATTTAGTAAATACAGTAAAACCCCTGTAGTTGGACACCCCTATATCCTGGACACTTTTGATTGGAACCGGCGAATATCCTATAATTTTACATGTCCACAATACCCTATATCTTGGACACCCCTTTATCCTGGAAATTGAACACCCCCTTTGTTGTAAGTTGGACAGGTTCATGCACTTAACTTCGATGCTTTTCAGGGAAAGTTTTTCAGTTACATATTTTGTTATTTTGAATTTCTGACTGATGAATGCCTCCTCTCTAGAGGATTGTCTTATGGACACTGAACCCATCATTGGAATGCATTGCAAGTGTTTAACTATGAACCCTTAACTGGACTACAGTATTGCAGAAGACACAGTTTTAACTCCATCAGTACTGTGCTTGCATTTGAGTTCAGACTGTGTTAACAGTAATGGAATTTTTGTTTTTGCAATGCGGAAGCGAAAATTAGTGGAATTAACTTTAGAAAATGTTATTAAGGCTGGGGTGTAATGTGCAATGCATGCATAGGCTTCAAAAGATTATTAATAATACTGTTGTCATTAATTCTTAATTCAAGTAAGCCTACAG